ATAACCCTATCTTGCCATATAATGGATAACATGTGTGATATTCCTTTACATTTACACTAAAGTAAATTAATATATAATTATTATTCAGTTTGGTTCTTCCAAATGTTGACATGTTCCATCATCATAAATATGAATACGATATTTGTCTTTAAATATAAAAAATCTCAAGAGGAAATAGTCAAAAAAATGTAAACAAACGATCCAACATAAAAGAAAATCTTTGACAAATAAAGACATCGCGCGCAAACAAAACTCAGAGGACCTCAGAGGGTGTTGAACCTTAAAATAATATTAAAAAATTTTTACTGAGAGACTTGTTGAACAAAATGTTTAATAAAATGTAGAATACAAAATTGAAAAATTATATATGAATTTTGAAAAAGAAATAAACTCATAAATAACTTGTTAGACGACAGCCTGCGAGTCTATATATGCATACAAATATATATACATATAAATGTACACATACAAATATACAAATATACAACAAATATACACATACAAAATATATATATATATATATATATGTATATATATATACATAAATATACATAAATATATATATATGTATATATATATATACATAAATCCCTTAAATTTTTTGTGGTGTACCTTTTTTCATTGGGTATATCATTACTAATAGAAAAAGCGGGTATTACAAAAAATCGAGGAACATCTAATCCCTGGGCGGTTCTGTAACAGGTATAAGATTTAAAATTTTACAAAAGGTACTAACCAAAGGTGAAGTAATGAAATAGATCGCATTCTTTATAATTATGTGGATTTAAAACTTAAGAATTCAATTCTGTGAAAGAAATATCATAATCATAGATCACCATCCAGGACAATCCTCAAATTATCATAATTGATTTGTGTTTTGTGGTAACAACAACCATGCAATTTTCGTGGGATTTTCAACCAATATTTTTTCCAAGGATTGAATTATTTTTTAATTAATTTTCTAGTCAAAACAAGCTCTGAACAAACAAGCTACATGGTACAAGTGTACGAATTAGAATATGTCAAGGCGTCTGGAAAAATTCATAGTTATTATACATGCGTTGGTTGTTCTAACACTTCCCTGTCACGTAAACGAGAGGGTGTAGAAATTTTATCTTCAAATTAGGGAAGTTTAACCGAAATCACAACCTAGTATTAAATTTCACTTTACACTTTTTTGTTGTAATAGAAAAATATATCATTTTCATTGTAGGTAGGACAGGAACAGAATATGCATAAACAAATTTTAAATTTTTGATCAAAACAAAGTATTTTCTTAAACTTCCTATTACTGAATAAAATGTATATCAACATATTGTATAAAAATAGCTCTTTTTCTTTTTTTGTTTATAATATTTTTGAACTTTGCTTGATTTCAAGCTATATATTTGACTAAAACTTAGGTAAAAACATTTAATATTTAAATTAATACGGGTAAAAAAACTTAACATTTAAATTTTATGTTGAACTTGTTTAAGTTTAATCCTATTATCAACAACCCGATATTTTTAAACAAAAAAATGATTAAAATTAATCGACTGTTTTTTAATTTTAATTATTTGATAGAAATATTAATATCATGTTTATGACAATATCTTTATGTTCTGTGGCAACTATTTTTTATAATTCTATAGAGTGTTTTTAAACAAATTGCAGTTTAGTGCTATTTGGAATCAAAAATTAATTTATGTAAAAAAAATCAAATATTTAAATATTTCATTAGATTATTGTTTTAAGCGATATGATCATTTTTAAACCTTAATATTTGTTGGCATAAAAAATTATTTTAAAAGTTGATATAAATATTATGTCTATTTTTGTAATATTTGTTAAGTTGTTAATTTATTTTAAACCGTGATATAAATTAATAGTTTCAATATGTTGAACGTTGAATTGAACTTGACTTCGAGTTGATTTTTATAAGAATATAATTATTATTAATGGGAAATATATTAAAAATATGGCTTAGTGGTTATGTTATATTTTTGACTCATAAATCATATTAACTTTATTTACTGTAATAATTAATTCATTAAAGTTTAAATAATTATTTTTTAAAAACATCTGAAAATAGTAAAAATTGTGTAAAAAATTTATACAATGAGCATTATTTATTATTTAAAAAAATTAAAAAATAATTATAATAATAAATATTATATATAATAATTATAAATATTGTGAATATTATATCGAATGGAAAAACAATCATTGAGTTGTTTTTCCAACATGACCCTTTAGTATACAATGTCCCTTTACGGCCGACAATTGTAAATTCCACAAATTTATTAAATGTCCTTAACTGGAAGGATAATGTAAAAAAAAAGAGAATAAAAAAATGATGTAAAAAAATAAAAAATTTATATAATTTTCCTCAGTTTGGTGTAAAAAATTATATACAAGAGTACATTTTAATGAAATAAAAATTAATTTAAAAATATTAATAAGGGGCCGTTCAAGTATTACGTAAGCACTATAGTAGGCGGGGAGTTATTTATTTGCTTATTTTGCTTATTTTGGGTAAGAAATTTGCTTACTTTTGCTGACAAAGGGGAGGGGGTGGGTAAATAATTGTAATAAATCTGCTTACGTAATACTTGAACGATCCCTAAACTGATTGGTTATGGGCCCATAAAAAACAAGTAAGTTTTGATATGAATAATTTAAAAAAAATCCAAAATTTAAAAAATGCTTTCCCAAGCTCGACTGGAATTTTGTCCCCGTTAAGGGCTACGTGACCAACCCTTACAAATAACATTTTAATTATATCTCGTCTCGAAGCTCCACGTACAATTTTCGATTATCCCTTTCCGTTGTTAATGTCGAATTTGAGAATTTTCGTGGGGGCAGCATTACGACAAAGCCCGTTCCACGGCAACGCCGCTCAATGCACAACACATAAAATAACATCATCATACGAGCATCGCGGCGGCAGGGCGTCTGCTAACACAAACACGCACCCAGTCAAAATATACTTTATATGTATTCTTATTTTCAAAGGCAAATATATAAATAAAAATTATAAATACGGCGGCCGGCGCTCGGAAAACAACACAGCCGATTGAAGTACATACGCCAAAGGATGTGATTAACGGAAGAGGCTTACTACATACAATACAATGTAAGTCGTACGGATTAACAAATGCTTATTGTTCTACAAATCATTTATCGACATTCGCAATTGGTCACCATAATTAGACTTAGAATACTCTGTATTTGCATACTCTCACCACATGTAGTTGTCCTTTTAGTGTTGACAATATTGACAAATAAGGGGTAGTTCTAGTGCTTTGACTAGACTACAATGGTATGAGAATAAAGGACTTGTGAGCCCTCTGAGAAGTGCAGGCAGTCTTTACTGGATTTAAATAAATTGAAAACAAAATTGAAAAATTATATCAGAGATAATATTATTTTTTTCTTTATATTAAATACTATTTTGTTTTTATTTTAGCATAATGAACATATGTGAATCATAGGTACATGTATATGTATGTATGTATGTAAACATATATAAATCATAAAGTAAGTATGTTATATAAAAAATAAGATTTTTTACTTCCCATAGGGCAAGTTATAGTAATCGCAAAAAATCGAAAATGAATTTTTTTATATATCTTTCTGAATATTTTGGCATACCTTAGAAAAAATGGATGTATGTGTGTGTATGTGTGTGTGCGGATACAAATTTTCGTCGACGATTTCGGGGACACCGATCAACCGATTTGATAATTCAAAAAACATTCGTTTCGTATTGATAAGGAGACGTGCTGATTTGTAACTTTCCGTAGGTTGAATTATTGTAATGGGCCGAAAATCGAAATTGAAAATTTCTACATTTCTCGACGTTTTGAAAGTTTCTGAACATTTTGGCATACCTCAGAAAAAATGAATGTGTGTGTGTACGTATGTATTGATACAAATTTCCAGTCACGTTTTCGGGCGCACGTATCAACCTATTTGAATGGTTCAAAAAACATTCGATTCCTATTGATAGGGAGATATGCTGATTAGTTTTTGGCAAAGGCAGGTCCAGCAGTTACGGAGATAAAGAGCAAAGAGTGCAGAAAATAGAAATCGAGTTTTTGAAAGAACGGAGTATCCGATTTGAATGATCTAACAAGCATTCAATTTGTAACGATTGGGAGAAGAGGTTATTAGTTTTTGGCAAAGGCAGGCCCAGCCATTTCAAAGATACGGAGCTAAATGTGTAAAAAATTGCAGTTTTTGAGAGAACTAAACGTCTGATTTAAATGATTCAAAAAACTTTCTGCTTGGCTTAACAGAATAATTGATTTTGGAAAAAAAATTTTTGTTTCACTTTTTTTTTCAAAAAAATTTTGTTTGTATATCGAAAATAATTCAGATTTTATTTTTAATTCTGACTATAGTTCTAATATACTTTAAACAAATAATTTCAACTTTGCAATTTAATTCATATAATTCTTATAAATATTAGACAATGTTACAATATTAATAATAATCTATTTGAAAACATTCAAAATTCCTCGAACATTTTGTTACGGTACGGGAAGTTCCAGCAATTTGCCTTAAGGCACGATGCCATACACCCCACTAGTTTTTGTTATAAGATTACTAAGTATGTACGAATTATATCAATTAAAAAAAAAATGTTGGCAGTTGGTAATGTTAGCACAATTTTTTTAAGTATTAACGTATGTAAAAATGTTAAGTTAGTAGATTTTTTTTTTAAATTAGATAATAAGTCAACAAATATCAATCTACTTCATAATTATGTCACGTATCCACACAGACTTTTGCAGATTTTTTAATCCACGCAGTCGACAATTTTTTTTAAATAATTAATAAGTCAAATTTGCTGAACAAATATCAATCTATTTAATAATTAAGTAAAACGTATCAAAAATTTAATATCAGTCATTAGGAAAAAGTCAGACGATTATTTTATCAGAAAATATATTAATTGCATTGATGAGACGTTAATTAATTAAAAATTAATAATATGTTAAAAATCTACTCACATTGTACGTTCAGGCTCACAGGTTCAGTTTTCAGTCTAAATCCTGTAATCCTAGATTTAGCTTGGCATACGAATTGTCCTGAATCCTGAAATCTATCCGCATGCAGAATAATCAAATTGGAACCTGATTGGAATCTGCGCGGAGAGGCTGACACCAGATTTCCTGGGAAAAGTTGGAAATTAGATTTGAAATAATTGTAATAGATAAGCTACAAAAGCGATATTAATATATTAAAACGTTATTTTCTGTAGATATCAAAAATGAATAATTAAATAATGCTACTCAAATTAACTGTATCCTTATCATGGTTTATTCAGAAGAACAAACTTAACTGATATTCTTAATTGCAAATCCAAAAAAAAATTATAATTTATATGTCAACTAATTAGTGTTCTCATTCTATCTCAATTATGATGAAATTAGTTACGACTACATATATATTTTTTTCTTCATCCTTACCATCAATTTCCCAATGGTATTGAACTCCATGATCTTGATTAATCTTGCAAGTCAAATTAACGGGCGCTCCTTCGATAACTGAGATTTCTTCAGGCCTTTCAATAAAATATAACTCTGAGCCTCGCGAAAAACCTATAGGAAAGCATAAAAGACCATATTCAGAACCTGATAACAGGTGCTTTATGAATATTTAATATCATGCGAAATTCTCACTCCCCGAATATCTCGAAGCTTTCAAACGAGTTTATACAGAGAAGTACGTATTGTAAAGTCGAGCTTTTTGATTATTGGCGGATAAGATTTAATATAAATCACGGAGATTATGAGTATTGCGATAAATAATAAAGTTGCATAATGCTTTATGGTACAATTGAGAAAAATGCAATCTAAGTTTCCTTTAAAAAATCCAACTGAATAGTAAAAATAAATGCAAAGCTTAACTAGCAGCAAGTCTTTTAATAAGAGCCAATATAAATTATTTTTAATTTTATATTAAAATAAATCATATTAATAATTTTTTATATAAATTTGGATTAGTTAGCTAATGTACTGACAACTACGAAAATTTAATTATCATACATGTCCTACATTTTCCATTGTATAAAAAAGCTTTCAACAATATCGCAGAATTATATATGACGAATGTACATGTACTTATTTATTATTTATATTTATGTCAGTTAACTATCTGTTAAAAACGCGTGGCAATATAAATCTTTATTCAAAATCTAATAGCGATGGCTTTATGAATATTTAATATAAAGAAATTTCTTTCGCGACATCCGCGAGCTTTTCAAAAGTGCTGGCCAAAAAAGCTTGAAGTTTTCAGATGAAATCTTTAAGAGATTAAAATATAAAAACGTATAGAAGTATAAAAGCATACGGAAGTAATCTAATATTTTGTGGAAGTAATCAAATATATTGAAGTCGTTGAAGGATTTGTTGGTGGAAGAGTACCTATTTTGGTATTGAATTGGATTAATTAATTAAATATATATTTATAAAATATTAATTTATAAAAGAAAATAGAAAATTTATAAATATATTACGGCACAGTATTTTTTATTCATATATTTTATATTAATTTAAAATATTTATTAATTTCATAACTATATGACCGTGCTTAGTTTAAAATAATATCTTAAACAATTATTATATAATTTTTCTTCTTTTTAGTCAAATAAGATCACTAATAGTTATTATTAGTGAATGTTTTTTATGTATGACCCAAATAGTTGTTATAATTTTAGATTTTATTTTAATTTATTGATTGCATTATCAACACTTGGTTTGATATTTTTGACCGTTACATATTATATATGTGTATATGTAGATATAATGAATTGCAGCTGAAAGAATACTAAAATACCTTAAAGATATGATGAATACCTTAAAGATATTTGCACCTGCCAAAACTTAGCCAACATCATTAATAAAAAAAGTCTTTGCTGATAAAAACTTTTAATAACGGGTCATAAATTATCGTACTCTGAATTTATAATACTTAATTATAAATGTTAATATATATATATATATATATATATATATATATATATATATATTTATATGATAAAATTATTCTTGGGCATTCATCCAGTAATTAAAAACAGTTTTATTGAAAGAAAATGTTTTTATTAAGAAAACAAACGTTTCGGGAATTGATTTGACCCATCTTCAGTAAGTATGTGTAACACAAACTCCAAGCTGACAACATGCTTCGTTTAGAATAAGCTTTTTATAAAATATAATATTTATTTTTATTTTTATTTTAATTTTACAATTATTTAAAATTATCATAACTCGACGTTTATCAATTTGTGTTTCATATTTTTTCGTGCAATTTTCCTGTGTTTTTGTGTTTTTTTTTCAATTTATTTGTATGCACTGAATATGGATCAATTCAAGACCCGAAACGTATGTTTTCTTAGTAAAAACATTTTCTTTCACCATCTGAAGGAAAACCTATCGCTTTATATATATATATATATATATATATATATATATATATATTAACTTATACATAGAATATATATATATATACTCATACATAAATTTAAAATTGTATATTTTGTATTTCCAATAATAAATAAAGTGAAAATTATAGTCAGTATGAGAAATCACATTTGAATTAGAATTTTTCTCATTGTAAGATTTTTATACGATGATTAATTATCTACGAATATTTATTAATATATTTAAATTTACTTTATTTTAAATAAAGAAAAAATTACACGAAGTAAGAGAAATTTACATAGGGATGTATTCAAATAGAATATATAATTTTATTATTATAGAGTTTTAGTGTTTTTTTAAGAATTTTATACGACGATCAAGTACCTATTAATATATTTAAATTTACTTTTATACTCTGTTATAAAATAGTTTTTGATATATAGAAAAATTTAAATTTATTTATTATTTTTTAAATATTTAATTTAATATAATATTCAATTTATTATTATCAACTTCTCTGTGTTAATTAGCAAGCCATGTGTGCATCATACGACCGCTCTATTCTAAAAATATTTGACAATCAACCAAAATCCCCAGCAAAACACTCCCTTATTGAAAAACAATATCAGGTAAAATCGTATAAATACCATAAAACAACTCACCGAAACACGTTGAAAAGACAAGAGACAGAACAAAAATCATTTTTGCACAATATAAAACGATTATCTAATATGTAATCATTATTTAAAACAGGAAAACAAATATAACAAACACAGAACAGCACTACACAAACTTTCTGATTAAGGGACACAAAGCAACTGAACTGAAAAGGGAGGGTGCCAGAGTGAGAGCAGAGAGCGAGCTTATAAGGAGCAGTTTCGTTTGCCGCCAGCAGAGAGCTTGGGAACTTGAAAAGAGGGTTCGGGCAAGTCCGAGGAAGACGGAGGCGACGGAAGACAATGGTAACTGATGAGTACACTGCTAACTTATATAAGAAAATCATATACAGAGCCGGATTTAGAAATTTGGCGCCCCGGGGCACTAACAAAAATGCCGCCCCATCCCTGAAATTTTACGAACTTTCGAACTTTTTTTAAAGCAATCGCGCTGCTTCAGCTGCGTAGAGACAAAATATAGGAGCGCGTAAGCGCCGCGTCGCAGTCTAACGAATAAACAATGGTACATAACCCATATAAATGTAAACCAAATTTATACTTATTAATAAAATATTTATAAAATATCTGATAATTTGATGTGCATATGTCTTATGATCACTTTTGTCCACCTAATGTTTCTTTTTCAAATTTTTTTATTGGGTCATCGAAACCGCTAAACCTGCCTCCCACAAATTTAAGCAGTTATTTATTCTATAATGTTTTTTGAATGATATTGGACGCTTCTTTTCTCAACAACTAAATTATCATTTTTGGCATTTTGGCCCGTATCTTCAAAACAGTTGGACCTGCCTTGGCCAATAACTAATCAGCACGTCTCCTTAACAATAGGAATTGAATCATTTAAATCGGTTGATCCGTGTTCACTTGAATAATTAAAAAATATTAGATTTGTATTGATGGGGAGACGTGCTGATTAGTTTTTGGCACAAATTACGAAAAATGGTAATTGAGATTTGATATTTCTTCTCTGAAACAGCTACGCAGCGCGATTGCTTTGCAAAAAGTTCATAATTTTCAAAAAATTTCAGAATACAAAAAATGTGTTTTAAAAGTCATTTTTTTATCATTTTCAATTTTTTTTCAATTTTAAAGCTCTTTATAAAATGTAATTTTCAGTACGGGACGTTTCAATACTTTGTCTTAAGGAACAATGCGTCACTAGTTAAATTTTTTTCAACGCTATAAGCTTGGAAGTGCAGAAATTCGTCATTTTAAGAAGGCTTGAGAACTGAAGAAAATATTTTTCTTAAACTTTCAGCTTGTTTACGGATCTTTTATATTAGCCAAATTGACAAATTTGATAATTTACGTTTGGAGAGGGAGGCAAGGCAAAATAATAAATTTTAATAATCGGTTATTTCAACCCAAATTTTACATTGCAATCGTATTATGTTTTGTTAATTATATTTCTTGAAATAAAAAAATTTTGTTAAAAAAAAATTGATTATATTGTATGGAATTTTTTTCTCACTGTCCAAATTTTGCCGCCCCCAAATATTTGCCGCCCTGGGCAGTAGCCCCGATTGCCTTAGTCTTAAATATTCAAAATAAGTGAAAATTAACCACATTAACCAAAAAATCACCAAAGCTCTAAGTTGCACTTATAAGCTCATAATTTCCAAATACCTTAAGATCATCAAAAAATCACCAAAGCTTTGAGTTGCACTTAAAAGCTCATAATTTCCATAACCGTGATTTTTTTTCCTAATTCAATACTATTACATCGTTTGGGCGTCCTAGGTATCAAGGACACCCTATATATTTTGTAATTATTTTATTTAAAGAATTGATTGGAGAATGTATTAGATAAACTTATGAATGTATCTAACCTAAAAATATATAGAAGCATCAATAAATAATTTAAATAAATTGCATTTGTACTTAAACCATCGTTCAGAATGTTGTTATAAATCATCCTTTTCAAAATAGCTAATTTTTTTATTAAGTTTGAATGCGATCGCTGATGTCATGAGTTTGCTAACATTTATTTATCCTAATATATTTTATAGAAAACTTGCAATAAATAATATTTATTTAATTTACTTTAATTTATTAAATTAACGTAAAGATTAGATTTTCATTTACCTATCTTTACTTCTATGAATTCCAATCGTATGGGTGGATGTAAATTATTTGCATTTGAAATATTATTGATGTTTATAAATTTGTGAATTTTGAATAGGTGAATGAAACGCAGGTCTGTAATTTTCAAAAAAAAAATTTAAATTTTACTTAAAATATTAAATGACTATATACATTTTTACGTTTTTCTATTTTTTCATTATATAAAAATACAATTGCTTATAATTTCTATTAGTTTGTAAAGAATTAAACTAATTAACTATATATTGGTATTGATCCTAAATTATATATAACATTTGGATAAAAATGATTAAATTTCAAATATTTAAAATACCCGCCATCGAGATGCTCGATTAATATCAAAGATGGCACAAAAAGCAACACCACGTGATTTATCAGAACTGTCACTTACTGTCAAAATATTTGACATTTCACTCTATTATCAGAAAATGATATAAATATATGATAGAAAATATTAATATATTCACAATTATTATAAAAAATAATTAAAATCATTTATTATAGAATTGTAATGAATTTTACATCTTCAAATAATTAATGTTCTTGCAAATACTTAATATTTACAGTGACTAGCATTAATTTTAAAATCAATAAAACATTATAGTTAACTCAATTAATACTATTATAAATTTGAATTTGAACTTTTAAGTATTCATTCTCTATTTTTCTAAAATGAGTTCACACTTTAGTGGTGCTTTACGATTAACAGATTTGGATGATTTCATTGCACCCTCGCAGGTACATATTTACAAATATTTTATAAGAGTTCATAAAACAATAATACTATTACTATATTTATAGGAATGTATAAAACCAGTAGAAATCAAAAAAGAAAAATCTTTAACCGGCGCAAAGCTAAAACTTAATGATGCAGGTTTCAAAGCTGATCGTGTTGTATGTAATTAAATCTTCTCTAGTAGCGCATTATTAATATGATTTTGTGTACAATAGATAATATTTGTAGAAAGTGCCAGAAAAGATTTCCAAAGTTGAGATTACTCTAGCCGATTGTTTAGCATGCAGCGGTTGTATTACATCTGCAGAAAGTGTTCTCATTACCGAACAATCACAAGAAGAATTATTAAAAGTTTTAACGTTAAACAAATCTCTTAAGTTATCTTCTTCAAATGATTCTAAACTTGTAATTATTAGTCTTGCCGTTCAACCTATTGTTTCTTTATCCATTAAATATGGTTTATCTGTTCAAGATACCGCAGAAAAAGTTTCAGGTGAATATTAAATGTAAAATTTAAATTAGTTGGATGCGTTAGCTTATATATCTATCCTTCGATTGTAGGATACTTTAAGAGCCTTGGGGCTGATTTAGTTATTGATATGAAAATAGCAGATGATATTAGTTTAGTAGAAAATGCTACAGAATTTATTGAAAGATATCATTCAAAACAAAATTTGCCCATGCTGGCATCGGCTTGTCCAGGTTTGTTTATTTATGTATATTTATACCTGCAAATTATATAGAATAGTTATCAATAAATTTTTTTTAGGCTGGGTTTGTTATGCTGAGAAAGCTCATGGATATATTTTACCAAATATATCTACAGCAAAGTCACCACAGCAAGTTATAGGATCTTTAGTAAAAGATATAGCTGGTGAACGAGGTATGTTTTACTTATTCTGATTTATTACGTATTATGATTCAATTTTAAATTTTTTTTTAAGGAGTGTATCATGTAACATTAATGCCTTGTTATGACAAAAAATTGGAGGCATCACGTCAAGATTTTTATGATGAGTTATTGAACAAACGAGATGTCGATTGTGTAATAACGCCAAGTAAGTAATCATGTTGATAAACTAAGTAATTATTCGTTTTATATAATTTTGTATTTCAGTTGAACTAGAACAAATGTTGCAGTCTGATAATATACACTTAAGTGAAGTGGAATCTCGGAATTTGGATGATATTTGGAAAAATTCAAAAACAGAAGAAAAAGTAAAATTATATTCGCAGCAGGGTTCGAATTCAGGAGGATATTCCAGTTTTATTTTTAAACAAGCTGCTAGAGATTTATTCAACATTGAAAATGCTGAACCTGTTTTCACAAATGTTCGGTAAAAATGATGAGAAAATCTTTTGGTAGAAAAAAAATTGTTTGAAAATCATTTAAATGAAATTTATTTTCTATAAAATTTAGAAATCCTGATTTCAAAGAAGCATCATTAACTGTGAATGATGAAGTAGTTTTACGTTTTGCTATAGCCAATGGATTTAAAATATACAAAATATAATGCAAAAAATGAAACGCGGAAAGTTCAATACGATTTCATAGAGATTATGGCTTGTCCATCAGGTTAGAATAGATCATATATATATATATATATATATATATATATATATTTATTTATATATTTCTATTAAAGGTTGCTTGAATGGAGGAGCTCAGAATAGACCGGCCGAAGGAGTACCTAACAAACAATATATTCAAAACTTAGAAGAAGTATATTCTACTTTACCAGTTTGTGATCCACATAATAATGAAAATTTAAATAAAATATATAAAGATAAAAATTCTGATAAAATTAAACACGATTTTCACACATCCTACAAAGCTGTTGAAAAATCTACAACAAGTTTATTAATTAAATGGTAGATGTTATAAATGGAATGATTCTCTTTGATTTGTAAGTTGAAATTTTAAATATATATATTAATATATAGATTTTATTTTATACATTAATATTTTTGAACAGACGTTCTGAGAAATGAAATCTAAATTAAAACAGGTAATAAAATATTCAATCAGAAATAGTGCAAACATAAATTAAATTATATTTTGTTAAATTAAATTTGCGATAATTTTTTAAATCATCGTATATTTCCGATTCGAAACTCTGCCGTTCCTCCGTTTCGAAAGATATTCAAACACGCGTTGAAACTTTTTTTTATAAAAGTAAATTTAAAAAAAAAATATAATGCATCTTTAGTAAAAAAGATTGAGTGCAGATTGAATTATTCGTTTTTCCTAATAATAAAATTATTTCAATAATATAAACTAATTTATTATAAAGTAAAATTATTACAGTATATTCATTAAGTACAAATCATTAGTAGTAAAATATGTTTATG